GCTAGCTGTCGGGGGGGGGGGGACGCGCAGATCTGTCCTCACAGAGGAGGGAGAGCTTGTACCTGAATAAAACTTGGTCTTAAAGGTGCCACTGGACGGTTTTGGACCGGGGGGCTCTGCAACTTACCTGGCTGCTTCTTGCTCTGACTGAGGGCTGCTGGGAGCAGGGGGCGGGGCTTGTGGCATGTGCCCGCCCCCTGGGCTCTTTACTGCCGGAGCTCCGCTCCTGTGCGCTCCTGCAGGAAATGACCCCTGGGTATAAATGACTTAAAGAATAAATTTCAGAGTTGGAGAGGAAGTGCGTGAGATGTGCAAAAGGCTTGTGCCTTTCCCCTCCTGACGGTCCCTTTCTCTGTCCCCCCCCACTTGTAGGCCCCTCCACATCGCAGTGGTGCAAGAGAACCTGTCGGTGGCCCGGCGGCTCGTGGGCCTCTTTCAAAAGGGACAACGGGACTTGGACGCCTTCAATAACCTGCGGCAGGTGAGCCCGGGCCGCTATCGGTGTGGGGTTGCTGGGTGTCCCCAGCCGGGTGGGAGCTGAGCTATTAGAAACTGCCCTGGGGGGTGGCAGGAACGTCTTCACTACCCCTCTGCCGGAGGAGACGGGGGTCCCTCTAACCCGGTGCCCTGTTTTCAAGAAGGGGTCAGTCTGATGCTGCCTCAGGGCAGAGGAAGCAAAAACCGCTTGTCCCCAGCTGCTGGTGTTTGGAGGTACACTGCCCCTGGATGTGGAAGTTCCATTTAGCAGTCATGGCTAACTGCCCTTTGCCAGGCTTGTCCTGAATATTGGGTATTCCTCCATCTCGGTGTTTGCACTGTGGAAGCGGTAATCTCTCTTGGGCCGTAGCAATGGAGACCCCCCAAACAAAGTGCCAGTTTTTTTCTGAAGGGGCAGTGGCTCAGTGGCAGAGCCTCTCCTGGGCATGCAGAAGGCCCCAGGTTCAATCCTTGGCATCTCCAGTTAAAAGCACCAGGCAGGAGGTGATGGGAAAGACCTCCGCCTGAGACCCTGGAGAGCCATGAAGTGGGGCTGTGTCTCAGTGGCAGAGCCTCTGCTTGGCGTGCAGAAGGTCCCAGGTTCGATCCACGGCATCTCCAGTTAAAAAGGACCAGGCAGGAGGGAACGGGAAAGACCTCCGCCTGAGACCCTGGAGAGCCATGAAGTGGGGCTGTGTCTCAGTGGCAGAGCCTCTGCTTGGCGTGCAGAAGGTCCCAGGTTCGATCCACCGTATCTCCAGTTAAAAGGACCAGGCAGGAGGTGATGGGAAAGACCTCCGCCTGAGACCCTGGAGAGCCGTGAAATGGGGCTGTAGCTCAATGGCAGAGCCTCTGCTTGGCGTGCAGAAGGTCCCAGGTTCAGTCCCCGGCCTCTCCAGTTAAAAGGACCAGGTAGGAGGTGATATGAAAGAGACCCCTGCCAGTCTGAGTGGACAATGCTGACTTTGATGGACCCCTTTGGGGAACCTTTGAGGCTCTGGGAGGCTAACCAGGAATTCCCAGCTAAGGTGATTCAGAATGGGTTTGTATGGATCCCACCCCCTTCCCCGGTGACCTGCAGTCACGAGGGAGTGTTCTCGACAGCAGAGGAGGCCACGGTGCGGCCTGATAGGCCGAACGTCCCATTTGCAAGGGATGCGTGCCTTACAATGCTTCCCAGAATCATTTGCTGTGCAGATGTTCCAGGACGTGCCAGTCGACAAGCAGAGGGTGTTCCCAGATTGCGGACGCTTGCAGGCCACGGGTTCCTCCCACCGACTCTCAGGACCACGTTGTTCCACTGCACTTGAAGAAGCCGGGCTTGGCGTTTCTGTTTTAAAAAGCAGACTTCTTCATGGCTGGGGAACTCAGTCCTTGAAAGTGCGCGGATGATGCCAAAAGCCATCTCAAGATGCCGGAAGGAGAGTTAAATGAGATCTTGGGAGAGGGTAGCCGCCGTATTAGTCGGCATGGAATAGCTGGATTTGAGTCCAGAAGCACCTTAAGAGACTGACAAGGGGTTTTTTTGCCGCCTGAGCTTTTGAAGAAGGGGAGATTGGATTTATACCCCGCCCTTGACTACCCAAAGGAGTCTCAGAGCGGCTTGCAATCTCCTTCCCCTTCCCACAACAGGCACCCTGTGAGGTAGGTGGGGGCGAGAGAGCTCTTTTGAGGACTGCTAAGGAGAGAACAGCTCTGAGAGAACTTGTGACTGACCCAAGGTCACCCAGCTGGCTGCATGTGGAGGAGGAGTGGGGAATCAAACCCGGTTAGAGTCCGCGCTCCTGACCACTGCACCAAGCTGGCTCTCCAAGCCAGCCCTGGTCCCCCTTCATGAAGCAGAGGGGGGGGGAAGGGTTTCGGCTGAGGATTTCTCAGCCTGCAGCCCAGGCGGAATAAATCCTGCCCCATCAGCGGACATGCCTCATTTCCATCCGTCACAGCTTGCAGAATCCAGCTTCCTTTGCTGCATAATTTCAACCCGGCGAAGTAGCCGCGGTAGGACTCGGGGAGGGAGGCGACTTCAAAAGCGCCTCCTCGCCTCGGGAAGAAAACCGGCTCTTGCCGACCGACCGCGGTGGCAGGGAGTTCTCCTGGCACGGCCGGGGGCGGGGATCGGGCCCGGAGGGCAGAAGGCGGCCCAGCTTGAGAGGAGAGCACGATCCCGGGACTAGATAGCAGCGGCCACGTAACCTGCCCTTGGCAGGCAGCGGCAGCCAACAGACAAAGCCCGATTTCCTGGCAGCCGTTTCGCACTCTCGCCACTCCCGGCCGGGGACTTTCCCTCTCCCCAGCTGGCTGCAAGCCTCGGGCGACTTCCTCAAAGTCTTGCTGAAGCGAGACTGCTCTCTATGGTCGACGAGGACTGAGTCACCACGGCGGGGACAACTCGGCAGGGACCGGGGAGGGGGCAGAGAGGGAAGAGATCTGCCCCTTGGCCTAGAGAGGGTCGGGGTGCCAGCCGTGGGTTGGG